TGTGCTTAAGTCAGGGAGGAGAGGAAATTCACTTCCCGCAATCAGTCAGTCAATCATTAGTTACTGTTTTGATTGCAACATTAGCCAATAATGTGTTTTGCCCCCAGAATGCACAGTCAATCCACTTTACAGTACCTCCTGTGAAGCACTTTGAGACGTCTCAACAAAATGATAAAATGCTATATTAAATGCAAGGATTATTATTATATGTTGACTATCATACCGCATTGCGTTTTCATCTCATGGAATGTTTACAGCACAGGAGACCATTTGGCACCACTTTTCTGTGCTGGTGTTCGCTCCCCCACTGGAGCTGCCTCTTCCAATTACATTGAGGACCTGATCAAACAGAATACTGCAGAAGATATACAATTTAATATGAACATAAATTTGTTTTCTACTTCTAATTACAAAAGGGAATTTGTCTAAAGAAAATCAAGTGAAATGAATAATAACTGATGGAGTAGAGATGAAATGAGCTGATGAAGCCTAATTATTATCGTGTAAGTGTAAAATACACTGAATTAGAACACTAATCTAAGAAATAATAATCTAGCCAATTTATCTGTAAAATAATTTGATATCCTAATTTGGTAAAATGAGGTAACAAATTGAAGTAATTATCACAGGAATTTGTTGAAATGTTTATGATAGGGTAATTTTTGATATAACCATCATGTTTAATCCCCAATATGCTAACAGTTACATGCTACTTATTGTGATATTATTCTTGTCAACTGGCAAAAATGCAAATGTATATATTGTGGAGTCCTGTAGCTCAGTGGTTAGAGCCCTCGCCTTGCAAGTGAGACACCTGGGTTCAATTCCAGGCAGAGGGCGAAACCTTGGGCAAGTTTCCTTACTTCACACACCTAATAATAATCCCTCCAAAAAACAAAACAATAATAAATTGGTCATTTTCAATCCACGACTGTTTGTGGGATACTGCTGTGCACAATTGGCTGCCGCGGTTCGCGCACAAATATAGTCAATTCACTTTACAGCATATTCTGTGAAGCGCTTTGAGACGTCGAGAAGACGTGAAAAGTGCTATATCAAATGCAAGGATTATTATTATTATGAAAGTGCATGGAGGGGGTGGTGTATATGAAGTATTTGAGAAGTAATAATAATAACTTGCATTTGATTTCGCACTTTATCGTGTCGTTGAGACGTCTCAGAGCGCTTCACAGGATATATTGTAAAGTGGATTGACGAGGTATTATCCGCTTCTCCATGAGTAGCTGACCTATGTGTGTATTTACCTCAGCTGCATCTAGACAACAGCAACAACAACAAGATTGCATTTATAGAGCGCCTTTCATGTCGGGAGGACGTCCCAAGGTGCTAGACCTGGACAGCAACAACAACAACAAAATTACATTTGTATAGCACCTTTTACGTCGGGAGCACGTCACAAGGCACTGGACAGTCAGTGTTTCGGACCTGAGCTGGGGGTTGGGGTCGGGGAGGGTGGGAGGTAGGGGGTGAAGCAGGGAGATCAAAAGCACAGTCAAAGAAGAGGGTGTTGGGATGGGTCTTGAAGGAGACAAGGGAGGGGCCGAGGTGGAGGGACTGTGGAATGGAATTCCAGAGGGTGGGGCAGAGCGGCGGAAGGCCCATCCACCAATAGTGGGGAGAGCGAGACAGGGGACGTGAAGCAGGCTGGAGCCCGCTGAGCGGAGGGAGCGAACAAGATGGTAGGAGGTTAGGAGGTTGTAGAGGTAGGGGGGAGCAAGACCATGGAGGGCTTTGAAGGTGAGGACTAGGATTTGAACTGTATCCTCTCTGTGAATGGTAAAACTCAGCAAACTGAAGTAAACTGTTCTCACTCAACCCTATCTGTCTGAAGCCTTGAGTGTGCAGCCCCTCCTTGGTGTTTGCTTGTGTTTATGACTTCTTCTGTCTTATTATCATTACTTTGGCTTTATTAATTCTAGACACCAGTGTTTGCAATTCACTTCTCCTCTCCAGATTCAATCTTTATTTTCCCGTATCTTGACTTGTGTGACTTTCACTCCAGAATTTACACTCACTCCGCAATCCTCATAAAATAAACTCACTTATACTTTCTTCTGCTGTTTCCTGAGGAGCAATCTGCATGTGATTTTTTTCCCCAGACTGAAGAAAACAGGAGCTTAATTGTTCTGAGAATATCAGAAAGATAGAAGTGAAAGAATTGGAAGCAAAAGGTCTAGAGTCTTCTAAAATTGTCTTGAAACAACGCCCTTTTGTCCCACTGTGATTACTATTCCACCTTTACTTTATTCCATTTACTGTTTTGAATACTGCATCCTCTGTAGGATCAACTCCAAGACATCTAAGGCTTGCAATTCCAGTACACAAAGATTGAAAGAGGTAATATTAGTTAGAGTACTTTTCTGTATCTGTTCATTTGTCCTCAGGTATTCTGAGGGAGGTGCACAGCGTGGCATGCAAGAGGCTCTCCGACAGGGTATCTAGGAACTGAACAAGAATTTGCATTTATGTAGCGCCCTTCACGTGGGATAGCGTCCCGGAGCGCTTCATAATGGCGGAGTCTGACAATGAGCCAGGGGGAAAGGGAGGTGGGGGAGGTGACCGTAAGCATGATAAAGGAAGATCTGTAGACGGGATTTGAAGGTGGGGAGTGAGCAGGCAAGTTGGAGGGATTGAGTTGCAGAGTTTTGCGGCATAGTGGCTGTAGGCACGGCCACCGATTGTGGAGCAGAGGGAATGAGGGACAAAAAGGAGGCCGGAGCCAGCCAAGTGGAGGCAGCGGGTGGGGGAATGGGGGGTAAGCAGGTCAGAGAGGTAGGGAGGTGTGAGGGCACGAAGGTATTTGAAAACGAACAAGACTATGACACCCAGCAACCAAGCAAGGAGGTTGGGGGAACGTCCCATGCCTGGAGTACAGAATGATACACTCTGTCCAGGAACTTAGCTTGAGGGTATATCCTACTCTCTTCCAAATTCATGCTGTCCGGTTATGTCTCCTTATGTCTTGTGCCACCAAATCCCTACCAGCCCTATCAACCTTCTGCTCCAAACAAAAGTTCTAAGCAAAATTTTAAATAAACTACATGCCGTTCCATGGGGTCAATAAACCTTTAGTTCCATGGGGCTAGAGTGCAAGATCACTTAAAGACCAAACTTTACAGCCATAGCTATTAATGAAAAATACAGAAAGAAAATGATTAAGATACAATTTGCATGCATAAATATTATTTAAAGTGTATATGAAACTTTGTAAATTTGTAAATTATTCCAGATATGTTATAGTAGAGTCCTGTAACATATTGGTTACAGCACTCGCTTCGCAAGCGAGAGGACTGGTTTTGATTCCCGGACAGGGCGAAACAATAGGCAAGTTACCTTCTCTACACGCCTCTATTTACCCAGTTGTTAGTCGCTTGTTAGTCGAGTGGCAGATCGCCTTCGGGGATAATAATCCCTTCAAAAAAATAATAATTTGGTCACTCAATCCACGACTGTTTGTGGGGCACTGTTGTGCACAATTGGCTGCCACACTTAGCCCACAAAATATAGTCAATTCATTTTACAGTATATTCTGTGAAGTGCTTTGAAACGTCTCAACAACCTGATAAGGCGCTATATCAAATGCAAGGATTGTTATTATTATTAAATGAGAGTCAAAAGTAATGTCCAAGTCTCTGTATTATAAAGTCATTGAACTGTGAAAGCAGTTGTAACTCAAATAGATCAGACATTAGCCAGGATGGGGGCGGGGTGTCACTTGAGGCCGTTCATATTCCTGTTACGTTTCACATGATTAAGATGAAGGAGGAGGATTTTTCCTTACCTCAGGCGACAAAGCTGCAAATGAGCGATACACTCCATGGCTTCCTCAATGCAGTCTGGAGCCACTTCACCTGTAACCCACTGCTCCCCACCAAGGATATGGCCAATAGTTACTGAGTGATTCCACACATTTAAGATTTTTTCCCCACCTGCTCATGAGCCAAAGGATTATTATCCTTCTGTGCTGTAGGATTCTATGATTCAATGACTATTGTTATCAAGGCCACAGCACCAGATAATGTGCGATGTGAATCTTTCTGAGCAGAGGAAAATGTGATAAGAGGTAGAAATCTGTACGCATAACTCAGTTAGGATTAAGACCATAACATTTATGGGTGACAGCAAAATTAGATGAAAATAGTATGTGTAAGTTTAAAAAACACGTCCTCCTGTGTATAACCTTGGGCAAGTTTCCTTACTCCACACGCCTAATAATAATCCCTCCAAAAAAAAACAATAATAAATTGGTCATTTTCAATCCACGACTGTTTGTGGGACATTGCTGTGCGCAATTGGCTGCCGCGTTCACCCACAAATATACAGTCAATTCACTTTACAGTCTATTTTTGTGAAGCGCTTTGGGACGTCTAGAAGACGTGAAAAGCACTATATCAAATGCAAGGATTATTATTACATTGTCTTATCCACTATGTTGCTGCTTTCTACAGCAGCCTGCTGCATGCTTGTGCCAATATATACATCCACAAATCAGATGTGGTCTTAAAGCAGTCTAAAACTTAGGAACATGAGTAGTCCATTCAGCCCCTCAAGCCTGTTCCACCATTCTATAAGAACATGGCTGATCAATACCTCAACTCCAACAGCTTTATAGAGTGAACAAATACTCGCCCCATTAATGGGGCCATTTTTGAGGATTTTATGCTGAAAAAAATGCCTACAGGATTTCATTCAGATTTTAGCATGGATTGAGTTATTTTATTTTCCAAATTGTATTATTAACTCTATAAATGTTTGTGCTGAATCTTTTCCACTTGACTTTGTGGCTGATAAGTCTTTGCTCACCAAGTAGCTCCTCATTGCTCATCCCTCAAACACTGGGAATCAGCCTCATTCCTCTCGTCTGTACTAACCTCTGTTCTCAATCAGTCCAGAAACAACACAGTTTTTTTTTATTATCACATCAGCTGCAGCGTTAATTAATATCTAATTCTCCAATAAAGTATTAAAAAATATAAAATATAAAGATAGGCTTTTATTTTTTTTAAAAATTATACAAATCCTTTCAACATCAAACAGAAAACTCCATACCCTGCATAAATCGTTTTCTTTACAGTATCAAATACAGTCAAATACTGTCCAAGATAATTAGAAATACTATTCAGCATTTTACTTAGAAATATAAAAAAGTATTATGCAAAATCATCAAAATCTCCTTTAGAATGGAGATTTGCAGACACAATACCATCTGTGTTCAGTCTTTGTCAAAGCCACTAAGACAATAATTGATATATTAATGCACAAATCAATAAGGCATTTAGAACTTTATAAATCTTCCCTGCTCTGGGTTTGTTTCCAATTCATTTGGTCAGATATCAGATCATCCTCATTTCCCAGCCAACTGGAGTAGACTTCAACTGGATCAATATTCCAGTGTTTGTGGAATGAAATAGGAATCTGGTGTGCAAGGTAATCCTTTGGGTAATCTACTGGCCGTGCCTAGGAAACAATATATAATAAATGTTAGAGCTTTTCCCCAACCACAGATAAATTGTACACATTGTTCTGAAGTTGCACATTGCAGATGTTTTTAGTTTTAGTTAGTTCTCCAATGCTATGAGACTATGGATAAATGTGGAAGATCTAAAGCTGCTCCTATTTGTTGAAGCAAGGTCAACTGGAAGTCCATGTCAACTTGTGAGAAACACTGAAAATGTTACATTTGTTGGAGATAGTTGGTTCACCCAAAGGCTAGTGCATTTGTGACTGAGAAAACAATATACTGTATACATATAAATACTATCAAAAGAGAAAGGTACCAAACATCATTCACCAGCCTATGTGGGTGGTGTCCCAACAACAGGATCTGAACATAAATTGGATATAGCAAAGTGAAGTGGAGTGAAATTAACTTCCAAGTGAAAGCTCTTAGTCAAAGTCTGTTGCTGTGTGTTGTGATACCTGTAATTCACACCTTGAAGAGATGACAACTCCAATATAAACACATTTCATTTTATAATGTCAGTTACATCATGAAAATCAATGCACCCTGGGTACATTAGTCTTCAAATTATTGGTTAGGTGAATGAAACAAACGATGGGATAGAGTTAGATATGGTAAGGAAGAAATGCAGAGAATGATACTATGGAGATTGCTTTATTACACATCAATGCTAAATACATTTAAGCTAATTATAAAATGACTCACTAGCCATCACACAAAACAATGAAAGGTTTTTGGAAAAACAACAAGCTATTTAAATTTAATTTATTCTTTAAAATAACTCATGCAACGATGATTTTCAACTTTCAGAACTTCCAACAGAATCTTCTAATTAAAAATCACAAATCCTCATTTTTCAATCAACTAAAGTAAATTCATTGCTAGAAGCAATGAGCAATAAGAAATCACTGCCATGGGAAATTACCTGGTGGAATAGAGGGCTGTGTGTCACTGGGATACCAAGGCTGTTGAAACACATTCCTAGAACCATATCATCAGGTGCATCATTACTGTAACAATGGCATCCGCTGGTAAGTAATTGCTTTACAGCTTCTCTGCTGAAAACAATTCTAGATGAAAAAAAAGCAAGAGAATTCAGCGATAAATTCAGGAACAGAAAAACTGCATAGAAGGTCAACATCAATTCAGTTTGAAACTGTCATAATCTTTTCAAAGGATCTTAATGTAATTAAGCTTAAAGTTTGACGGTCAATCCAGATGACATTGTATGGTACTAATTCCATACAACAGGATTTTCCCATTGAAGAGACCGCCTCACATTCTTATTTACATTGTGTTATGTTAATCTTTACTGGCAAATGCTACGAAGTGGAGGCTGATGATGGTAATGGAGAGAGGGAAATAGTTATTGAGGGAAGGAAACTAAAACATGAGGGAAGGAAAAATTGAAATGTGTTAGTCTTTGAATTGTGTTCATTTGGCTCATTTTATACAAAACTAAAAATGATCTCCAGTTTGGCACGGTGGATTTAATTTAATAAAATAATTGGTACCCAAATAAAATTGGTCACTCACTCTCCATGGTTGTTTGTGGGGCATTGCTGTGCACAAACTGACTAACCCGTTTCTCCCAAAACATACAATCAATCTACTTTACAATATATCATGTGAAGCACTCTGAGGCAGCTTGACGATAGCATAAGGCTTTACACCAAACGTAAGGATTATTATTATTGTTATCAATCAAATAGCTGATGAGGAAAGTGAGACTTGGGTTAACTGCTGCTGGAGGGCAATACTGGAGTCTAGTTCTTTTTAACCCACACGCATATCCACGGCTTGTTATTCACCTTGATTAGTATACAGAGATAAGCAACCGATGCTGAACACCACACCTTCAACTGATGGAACCATTGCTTGATGGGTAGGGATGTGTGTCCATACTGTGCATGGGAAGATGATAACAATTTTATGCTTCTCACCAAGAGGTTTGCAAGAAAATCCGGGTACTTTGTATTTGTCAACCTGTGTTCTAATACTCTTCAGATTAGGTAAACGGTGCTATCTTCCAGGCAGAGCATGAGTGCATACTCCATTCTAGATATAGGGAAATTTCCCTGTGTAGATGGCATGCAGGTTTGAAATTCTGAATCTAGTTTGGATATTCTTCTTAAGCATATTGATGGGTTTCTTTTTCATATTTACATGTTTCAGCTCGGGGACATCATCCGCAGGCATGTGGTTAACTTCCATATCTATGCCAATGACACCCAACTTTATCTCTGCCTCCACCCTCGACTTCAGCACTACTGCTGTACTGACAGATTGTATGTCAGACATCAAATCCTGGATGAGACCAAATTTCCTATAGTTAATAATCCTTCATAATAATCCTTGCATTTGATATAGCGCTTTTCACGTCGGGAGGACGTCCCAAAGCGCTTCACAGAATATACTGTAAAGTGAATTGACTGTATATTTGTGGGCGAACGCGGCAGCCAATTGCGCACAGCAATGTCCCACAAACAGTCGTAGATTGAAAATGACCAATTTATTATTGTTTTTGGTTTTGGAGGGATTATTATTAGGCTCTGTGTGGAGTAAGGAAACTTGCCCAAGGTTTCGCCCTCTGCCTGGAATTGAACTCAGGTCTCTTGCTTGTAAAGCGAGTGCTCTAACCACTGAGCTACTGAACCACAATTTTATTTGAGCTACTGAACCACTCCAACTTGTCATAGTTGAATGACAAGACTGATGCTCTCCTCCTTGGTTCCCTTCTGCACCTCCTCACCTCAGGCACTGACAGCATCACTATTCCTGAATGGACTCTCCACCTCACAGAACCAGTATGGAACCTTGGTGTCTTCTTCGACCCTCAACTGTTCTTTAAACCTGATATCCGGCCATTAGCTGTTCTGCCTTCCCCCACCTCCACAACAATTGCCCACCTCCGCCATATCTCTCACTCAGGCTGCCGAGACCCTCATTCACGTTTTCATTACTTGCAGGCTTGATTATGGTAACTCCCTGCTTGCCGGACTTCCCAACTCTTCCCTCCACAAGCTGCAGATCATTCAGAACGCTGCAGCTCATGTCCTCTCCTTGAAACTTCACTAAACCTGGCCATTGCCCTCCACTCTGCAGGCACTGGCCTGCTCCACATCCCACGACCTGCATGCTCCACTACCAGCGGTTGGGCCTTCAGCCTTTGTCCCCATCCTCTGGAACTCCACCCCAGAACCCCTCGACTCGACCCTTTGTTACCTCCTTCAAGGCATGTATCAACACGTACCTTTGGTCATCTTTCCTCCTCCACCCACCTTGCCCTCCACTCCTCTCTGATCCCAACCCGCAGCTCGGATGCAAATCTCTCATTGTCAAGTGCATTTGGACATCCTCCCGATGTGAAAAGCCCTTTATAAAGGCAATTTTTTGTTGTTGTTTCTGCATGTGTCAAGACAGCCATTGACCAAAAAAAAAATGGAAAGAGCTACGGCCACTCAGTTTATGAAACTCATCCATTCTGTATATCAGGTACAGAGTATCATATCATAGACTCTGCTCAAATCACTCCATCTGTTATAGGAGGCAACCAACCATAAATTAACTCCAAATAAATCTCTTCCTGACTCCCAAAGGCAGTCAAACAGAATTGCAGAAAATGAGGCCACCTTTACATTCACATTTACTGCTCAACCATCATGGGTTGCAGCAACAAATTAAGCACCGTACTCCAGATTACTTAATTATTTGTGTCTGTTCTAATCCTTTCAATCCAAGTCTTGAAACAGATTTTTTCCTTCATAGGACTTATAATCAACTTATATATACAATATACAATATAGATCTAAACTATAGGATTTCCAATATTGGAACTCTGGAAGTAGCTTGAATTGGAGCAGAGTTCCCAAGAGTGGAGTCCTGTAGCTCAGTGGTTAGAGCACTTGCTTTGCAAGCAAGACACCTGGGTTCAATTCCAGGCAGGGCGAAACCTTGGGCAAGTTTCCTTACTCCACACGCCTAATAATAATCCCTCCAAAAACCCAAAACAATAATAAATTGGTCATTTTCAATCTACGACTGTTTGTGGGACATTGCTGTGCGCAATTGGCTGCCGCGTTCGCCCACAAATATACAGTCAATTCACTTTACAGTATATTCTGTGAAGCGCTTTGGGACGTCCTCCCGACGTGAAAAGCGCTATATCAAATGCAAGGATTATTATGGAGTATGTCTGATTATCAGAACATGTCCCTATTTGTGCAATTTGGATTCTTCATTAAGGAATCCTGTTATAAATTCTGTATTTTAGATTCCAATAATTATTTCTGTCTGTTCCATATATCCATTGTAAACTCTTGATTATTTGTGATCCTATACTCACATTCATCACTCACATTTACATTAATCAAGTCAGTCATTATTTTAAACACCTAAATTATGGCTTTGGCATAAACTTGGCATACATTTTCAGTCTTACAAGAATCAAAACTCCCAAAAACAAAGAAATATAAATTACTTACTGACAACATATTTGTATAACACAATAAACCATCTTTTATGCATTCATTTTACTTGGGTAAAAGTAAAATACAATCTAACAAAATAAGTGTGAAATCTGTCCAATTTACGATTTGTGGACTAAACTCTGATTGAGTTACTGTGCAATACTGAAAGCCTGATTGTAAATGGTAAAAACAATGGTGATGAATTTCTGGATTGAAGCTTGAACATGAATGAAATAAATGAATCTGGATTAAAGTGAGTTTTCTATAGCCTACAAACCACCTCCATCACACAGAGATAATACCAACAGAACTGTATTTTATGCAATCGCAGCTAAAAGCATGAGGTTCAATCTCTTTTCTAAAATGATATTGAAAATAATGAACTATAAAATCTACGACTAAACATATGATTAAAATGTAAATGCAAAGTAGAAATGTTTACATACAGAATGTAAAAGAATCACTCTCCTGAGAAAACATCAGCTGCCCAGATTTAACAGGCTTGTGAAAGCGTTGCATTTAAGACACTTACCCTCCGCCTCCTGTAATGTAGCTGTATCCACCAGTGCCCAATCCATAGCCATATCGCTCGCCAAGGAAAACTGCTTCCTTTGGATTGTAGCAACTCAATAAAGTTCGGAGTCTTGGAATACTGTATTAACAAATCCCACCCCACCAAAAAATGGTTAGGTTTTTAAAGGCTTTTAATAGTGTGTCTACAAAATAAACAGTCACTGCACTTTACAGTGAATCCAACGAAGTTCTTCTAGATATCCTTACAAGTAAATATCCCTGACGTGAAAAGATTTCTATTGAATACATTGTGATTTTTTTTTTAACCTCTTAAATCCAAATAAATCAAGGAGCAGCAAAACATGTTTGCTCTTTGCAAATACCAGTAAATGTTACAAAAAATACAAGTTTATTATTATTATTATCGTAAGTTTGACGGATGGTCCACAGTCACCAAATTAGGCAGAGGTTATCATATCCCAACACTGTTATTTTGTATAATATATAAAATAGAATACATTTTTATTCACGTACAAAATGATTGAAAATTCCTTAATTCATGGTACACTCAAAATAGACATTCATCATTATGTTTTGCTTTTTTTGGCTTGGGAGATGTGGGCTTCCTTGCTAGCTCAATGGCTAAGTATACTTATTAATGCATTAGTTTTATCGCAAAACATTTCTGATGATTTTTACTTCAATTCATCCAAAGCAGCAGCTGAAGAATAACAAAACCTCCCCTTATTAGATAAATAGGTACATGTTTAAAAACTGTAATAAAAAAATAAAAAAATTGTATTGATATACATTGTATTAATAACGTCAGGAGGACCACCCAAGTCACTGAACGGTTGAGGTGTGCATCAAAGGTGGGGGTTGAATTCTGGCAGGATTGGGGCCAAGGAGTTGAATGTGGAGGTGAAAAGTTGACCGAAGGCGCGGTCAAAGAGGAAGGTCTGGAGATAGACCTTGAAGAAGGCGAGTAAAGAGATGAGGCAAAGGGATGGAGTTCAAGTGAGTGAGGGGAAACATACTGAAGGCCCAACCCCCAGTAGTGGATCAGGCAGCTTGGGGACATGAAGCAGATCAGTGCTGAGCAGAGAGAGTAGGCGGGTTGGTAGGTTGCAGAGGTAGGAGCAAGACCTTGGAGTGATTTAAAAGTGAGCACGAGGATCTTGAACTGAATCCTGTGGGTGGAGTGAGCACCTGTGTAGATTGATACTGTCGGTGCCTGAGGTGAGAAGGTGCTGAAGGGAGCTAAGAAGGAGAGTCTCTGTATTGTCAACATTCAAGTGGAGAAAGTTAGCTCTCATCCAGGATTTGATGTCTGAGAGACAACCAGTCAGAACAGAACTGGTCCTGGAATCGAGGGTGGAAGCAGAGAGAGTTGGGCATCATCTGCGTACGTGGAAATTTAACTATATGCTTGTGGATGGCATTGCAGAGAGGGAATATGTAGATATTAAAGAGGAGAGGGCGAAGGATAAGGCCCGCTGGAACTCTGGATGTGATGGTGTGGGGGTGGGAGGAGAAGCCGTTGGCAGATATGAAGTGGACAAGTTGGGATAGCAAGAATGAAACCAAAAAAGGACAGAACCTTGAAGGTGGAACTGAGAGGAAAGATGGTGGAGAAGAATAGAATTGTTGACAATGTCGAAGATGGCAGAGAGTTTAAGAAGGATGAAGAGACAGAGAAAACCCTGGTTGCAGATGGAGAGAATGTCATTTGCGACTTTGATCAGGGTAACCCTGACCATTTCCCCCCTGCTCGGATCCTGACCCAACTGTCCAGTGCCTTGGGACGTCCTCCCGACGTGAAAGGCGCTCTATAAAAGGAATCTTGTCGTTGTTGTACTCTCAATGGAAACTGGATTGGAGCGGTTCATGCATTGAGTGGAAACAGCAAAGCTAACATTTGAAATGCAGTGAATAACTTGACAACATACTGTAGATAACTTCTCATTATTAATTGTTCTTTCTAATTTCCCTCTTCCAGTTCTGTGACATTTCTCTTCCCACCATCATAGTCTTGCCAGAAAACTCCACATTCCAATTAAAACAAAAGAACAAACCAGACACTTAAACTTACAGGAATATCACAAATCACTGTCATAGAAAATAATAGGAAAGTAAAATTGTGCTTGATTCCACATCTCCCCAGTATCCCAATAGTGAAGTAAATTTGTTCAACCATACTTTTCATTTCATCTTTAATCACTTATTTTTTGAAGTAGAATGGCCCTCTAGAAGCACTAAATAACTATGACAGTATACCTAGTGTGCGTATGGTCGACCCACTGGTGGCAAATGCAGAGATTGTATATCAACAGTAGGAGTTCATGGAAACGGGCAGCAGGGAGTAGGGTGCTTGAGGGAGAGCCAAGTGGAGGCAGAGTTGGTATGTGCATTAGTCAATCTGGCTTTGAGGAACTCTCCTCTCCTCACTGGGCATCCTTGTCTGGCAAGTGGGGAGGTCTTGTCTGACGGACAAGGAGAGAGGAGCTCAAGGGATACTAAAGGAAAAGAGCAGACAAGGAAGTCAGCGTCTCTTACTGTGGCTGCCCTTCATGTGTGGATTAACTGATCAAAGTTATTTCTTTGTGCGATTGGTTTCAATAGTCAATTGTTTGGTGGCAGAACTATGGCTGCTGACAACCGTTTCTTCCACTTGTGTCTGCTCCAATAGGGAGCATCGAGCAAACAGGGAGAACTAACAATATTGACCAAAAGTATAGTCAAAAACATACTTTGGGGGGGGGGGGGGTGGAGTGGGAGGGTGAAGGCTGACACTCTGTGATCAGGCTCTCTATGAAATGCAAGGATTATTAAAGATTATTTAAGGCATGGAGTAAAAGAAGCAGGATAAAGAGGTTTAGAAAGAGAGTTCCACAGGATAGGAGCATAGTAACTGTAGGCTTGATAGAAATCTAGAGTGGAAACGGAAAGGTAGTGCCAGTTTCCAGGGTTGAATTGAAATCGTACTTCTCCATCATCAATTCAACGACCTGCCTGTGTCAACAGAATTAACCAGTAACACAATATCATGTTTTTTCACATTATCAGTCACCTTGTGTGTGCTCATTGTTTTGCCTTCAGAGTAATTCAGACATAACAACCCCCCAATGATTCTCCCACATTACCTTATCTATCAATTAAACTTGTCAAGGCTGCAGATCATTTTAGGTCAGAGAAGCTTTTAGTGTAGCTAATTTTATCTCTTCTTAATGTCTTGTTTAAATTTTACTTTTCAACAGTTAGGTGATATGGTATAAAGCATGTTTACAAATGCTTCCAGAAGATATTATTCAAACACACTGCACAATTCAACAGTAATAGGAGTTGAGCAGTTTTTTTACCCAAAGCATAATTTTAGCTGTACAATTCAAATGTAAAAATAGGTGTTCACATATTACAAAACTATTTATGGATTGTAGTGGTGTAAGTTTTTAAGGGGATTTTTCACATTTTAAGTGTAAACTTACTGACAATGTGCATTTGCCAGCAAGGGTGTTAAACTTAACAGTAAACGGAATAATAACACCCCTGAAAACTCAAGTGGAATGTAAGAGTGCAGCCTATATCACCAACATTAGTACTTTGCTGCAACAATGACAGCAATTATTTTGACTATGAGGAATCATAGCCATGCTGTATCCTGCTCTCACCAGATATCTCCTACTTAATATTTTAAATGAACAAATAAAGGAGCAAATGAAGCTTCCAATTCTGCAACCTTAGCTATATAAGTGATAATTGATACTCTATCCTTCTGCAACCAGGGCTCCCTCTGCCTCCTCATCCTCCTGGACCTTTCTGCTGCCTTCGACACCGTTGACCACTCCATCCTCATGCACCGTCTCTCCTCTCACCTCAACCTTCATGTTCTGTCCTTGACGGTTCAGATCATACCTCTAACACCACCTCCACTTCATCTCCACAAACGGTTTCTCCTCTAGCTCCCGCATGGTCTCGTACAGCGCTCCTCAGGTCTCTGTCGTTGGCCCCTCCTCTTCAATATCTATATGCTCTCTCTTGGTGACATCATCTCCAGACATGGGGTCAACTTCCACATGTATGCAGATAATACCCAACTGTAACTCTGCCTCCACCTTTGATTCCAGGACCATTGCTGTCCTGACAGAAAGTCTGTCAGACATCAAATCCTGGATAAAAGCTAACTTTTTAGTTGATCGACCCTCAACTATCCTTTCTACCCCACATCCGTGCCATGACCCGCTCTGCCTTCCCTCACCTTCGCAACATTGCCTGACTCCACCACTGTCTCACACCACAGGCCACCGAAACCTTCATACACCCATTCATAACACTGAGGCTTGACTATGCAAACTTCCTGCTTGTCGGCCTCCCAACTCCTCTCCCATAGGCTGCAGATCATCCAAAACTCTGCAGCCCATGTCCTCTCCCGCACCAGGCTCCGTGATCCTATCACCCCCATACTCGCCTGATTCCACTGGCTTCCCATCACACAGAGGATACAGTTCAAGATCCTGGTCCTCACCTTCAAAGAGCTCCACGGACTTGCTCCTCCCTACCTCTGCGCACTCCTAACCACCTAACCATCCTGCCCACTCCCTCTACTCAGCGGGCTCCGGCCTGCTTCACGTCTCCAACCTCGCCTGCCCCACCATTGACGGGCCTTCTGCCACTCTGCCCCCACCTTCTGGAACTCCATTCCACAGGCCCTCCACCTCACCCCCTCCCTCGCCTCCTTCAAGACCCATCTCAAGAACCTCCTCTTCAGCCATAGTTTCGATAACCCTGCTTCACCCCCTGCCCTCCACCCTCCCCAATCCCGACCAGCTCGGTTCCGAAACACTGACTGTCCAGTGCCTTGGGACATCCTCCCAATGTGAAAGGCGCTTTACAAATGTAATTTTGTTGTTGTTGTATTCCAGCATTCATCTTAAAAGGTCTAGCTGTGCACTCCCCATTTCATTATTTCATTTCTCTCTCTCTCTTTGGCATTTCTTCTCATTTCCCCCAAATCATTTACTTGCAAGAAAACTAATGTAGCGTTTGGCATTCCCTCCCCTCGTTATGCACAAGATTAGAAAAACTGGAAAAGTTGTGGACTGGACTAGCTGTCCTTTAGTCTGCTCCCATCTTTCTAAGATACCGCACCTCTCTGAGTGAGTGACAGTGAGGCAGGATTGTCAGAAAAGCAAGAGACTAAACTATATTAGTATTACTCCCTGCCTGTTCTAGTATTTTTCCCCCGATGCAACTTTTGGCGAGAGGATGTTACATTTGTTCAAAAGTAAGCATCAGTCTACAGAATATTTGTTTGATCGTCTACATGCATGCAACAGGCAACACATCTGAAATTCTGCTTTAATGACTCACTATCAGTTAAAGAAATCAGAGATATTAATTAATTAAATCGATATACTTCACAAACAATCCTCAAAGCTCTATGTCTGGATTGAAATACAGATTCGCTTGCTGAAGACATACACTCCGCTTAATTCTGGAGAGAATTAGGTGCAGGTTGGCAAGAGCCAAGACTTGGGGACCCGAGTGTGCTTTGAGGTACTCCTTGAGTTTGACCAGCTAAAACCACTTAGCTTGCTATTGATAGCACTGTCCGGCGAGCTTCCATTTGCTTGTCCAGCTAAGATCACCCTATCCATTAGGAAGAATCCCACTCGCAGTCCATCCCTCCAAGAACTGTTGATGGTCTTTTATCAGCAGTTGCTGGAGTATGCAATCTGCCTAAATTAGCATTAAGACCACCACAGAGGTTTGACTTTATTCCAACATTCCGAGCTGAGCACGTCACCTTAAGATCAGCTTAGCTCCAAGGAGACCCTGCTCATCTTCCCCTAAAGCAGGATATTCATAACAGATTTCACTTGAAGCTACTTGGACCTTATCTTGGGAAATATAACTTATAAAACCTGATTGAAGCCAATAAATAATTTTAGCTGCAATAGACAAACAAAACTGTAGCTGCCAAATAACGTAAGCAATATAGCTTTATTTTTAAGACATTAATAAGGTCTTGGTGATTGGTTCAATATCATTTACAGTACCTTATCAATGTGTCGTCATCCACAATCACGAGCCAGGGTGCCTCAGGAACAGCAGAACTAAGGAATCTTTGTAAAATAGCAAATGTTTTGCCACAATGTCCTGAAACACCCAAGAAATGCAAAAATGATATGCTTTGCTTCAACTCAAGTTTCACAACTATGAGTTTCTGCTCATAGGTCAAACCACTGATTGGTGCTACCCAAGGATTCATAATTGGAGCTTACTCTTTACAAATTTAAAATAAAAAAACTTACAACAATTTATATTTACATAACTCCTCCCATGTCATGACAGTGTCCAAAGCTAACTGTCCACCCAAACTTGAGTGGGGGAGGAGAGAGGAAATGGTTAAAGAAATAACCATTAGATATATCTATGTTTTAATTAAAAGATCAATATATGATTTGTAAATAAGGTTCTTCCCTTTGCTACAATCATAGAATATTACAGCACAGAAGGAGGCCATGAGGCCCATTGTGCCTGTGCTGGATCTTTGGAAGAGTTACCCAATCAGTCCCATCCCCCGCTCTTTGCTCATATCCTTGCAAATTTTGCCTTTTCAAGAAATTCTGCTTTAATGACTGACTATTAGTTAAAGAAATTAGAGATATTAATTAACTAATTCGATATGCTTCACAAACAATCCTCAAAGCTCTATGTCTGGATTGAAATATAGATTCACTTGCTGAAGACATACACTCATTGATAACAAGGCAGATGCTAAGAGATGAAAATGCAACGTTTCTTAAGAGATCCAATGTATAATCAAATGGGTTATGGAATCCATTAAGAAACATCATTATTTTCAATCTTTACCTAAAGACCGGCCACGTTTGTGAACCCCTTTCTCCCGACTTCAATTCTCAGATTTTGCAGCTGCCATGTTGTTCCTGCTGTGAGTGTTGTAGCTGCAGCATTGTACCTGGGAGCACAGCATTTGAATACCACTTCATAATGCATGACTCACTCAATCTGAGTCAGACTGGTATTCTATGAAGTGGCACTAAAATAGCACGATCGATAACAATAACACTAAAATCTTTGACCATGTTTGTACAATGATTGTACAAGCTCAGGGAAGGGGAGGAGAATAGATAATACAATAATAAGATACCATTATTAAAGATTGAGCCAGGTATCGTAGCACATTTAATGATGCATCAAATCTGTTAACGAACGTCACATTTTCATTTCCACTCCTCTGTTGTACAATGTTTAAAAGCAATAAAGAGAGACTATATTGTTCCACTGCAAGCCTCAGTGAAACAAAATCCAATATCACTGTCATTTTAATTATGTAGTTATTACCACCGGTTCCTACTAGACATTACTAATATTAAACCAAATATTTTCCAAAATTATGTAAAGTAAGTGCATTCCTCCAGGAAGAGAGCACATACTCCATTCCAGACTAAAAATTCTATTAGTAAGGAATGCAGAATTCTCCATCTGGTTTGATACTCTTGATACGAGGGAAGGGAGTATATATTGAATGGCAGTATCTTGCAAGGAGCTAAGGAGCAAAGTGATTTGGGAGTGCAGGTATGTAAGTAATTGAATGGCACCACAAGTGGCAAAGGCTGCAAAGAAAGCTAATAGAATGCTGGGTTTTATACACAGAGGAATAGAGTACAAAACAAAGCAATAATGCTAAGTTTGTACAAATCATTGGATAGGCTGCAGTTTTGGACACTTCACTTCAAGAATGATCTTAAAGTCTCAAAGAGCAGGAGTGCAGAGGAGATTTACAAGAATGATTGTGAGGATGAAGGGCACTACAGTGAGGAGAAATTGGAGAATCTGGATCTGTTTTCATTGGAGCAGAGAAGATTGAGGGGGACCACATAAAGGTAGATTTGATGTGAAGACTGGCAAAGAGGGGGCAAAACAAGATGATTCAGTCAGGGAGTTCCAGGGATTTGGGGCACAGTGGTTAAAAGCCAATGGTGGAGTAGAGGGACGAGGGACATTCAGAAGAACTGAGCCAGCTGAGTGAAAGCAGTGAGTAGAGGAGTGGGGTGTGAACAGATCAGAGAGGTCGGGATGTGTCAGAGCATGAAGTGATTTGAAATCGATCTGTTCTACAACAAGGAGCCAATGGAGCCTGGCAAGAACTGGGGTAATGGGGGTGCAGAGCCTGGAATGGGTGGGGAGATAGGCAGCAGACTTTTGCATCATTTGGACCTTGTTTATAGTAGACCTGGGGAGACTGGTGCGGAGTGCATTGGAAAAATCAAGGCAGGAGGCATTTAACAACAACAAGATTATATTTGTATAGCCTTTCACATCGGGAGGACATCCCAAGGCGCTGGGCAGTGTACAGCATTTCAGACTCGAGCTGGGATCAGCGGGGAGGACAGAGGGGAAGGGAAGGGGGGTGACCAATGGCATGGTCGAAGAGGAGGGTTTTGAGGCGGGACTTGAAGGAGGCTAAGGAGGGGGCGAGGTGGAGTGATTGGGGGATGGAGTTCCAGAGTTTGGGGGCAGAGTGGTGGGTCGAGGGACGTGGAGCAGGCTGGAGCCGGCAGGGAGGAGGGAGCAGGAGGGTTGGTAGGGATTTAGGAGGTCACAGAGGTAGGGTGGGGAGAGGCCATGAAGGGCTTTGTATGTGAGGACCAGGATTTTGAACTGGATCTTCTGAAGGATAGGGAGCCAATGGAGTCGGGCGAGAGTGGGGGAGATGGGGTCACGGAGTTTGGTGCGAGAGAGGAACACGGGCTGCAGAGTTCTGGATTATCTGCAGCCTGTGGAGGGAGGAGTTGGGAAGGCCGACAAGCAGGGCGTTTGCATAGTCAAGCCTGGAGATGATGAAGGCATGAACAAGAGTTTCAGTGACCTGAGGAGTAAGGTAGTGGCGGAGTTGGGCGATGTTACGGAGGTGAGGGAAGACAGAGCGGGTCATGGCTTGGATGTGGGGAAGACAGTTGAGGGTCGAACAAGAACCCTAGGTTCCTGACTGGCTTGGTGAGTTGAATTGTGCAACCATGGAGGTTGATGCTGCCAGAGCCTGAGGTGCAGAGGCGCTGGCACGAGTCAATCAGGAGGGCTTCAGGCTTGTTCACATTCAACTGTAGGAAGTTTGCCCTCATCCATTTAAAGCATAAAACATTAATTAGAAAGTACTTTAGCCCTCTGAAGATAGAAATTTAAAATGTTACAGTGTATTAGCTTCACATTGATGTGTTCCACTCACCTCTTTCAGTGTTAGGTATACCCAAGTACACAGTTGGAATGGAGCTATCAGCGTGATCGCTGTAGTATTCAATTATGGCTGCTTGTTTTTCCCAAGTCTTCTTTACAATAGGTACTACAAGACAGAGAAACACAATACTTTTAAATAACGTAATGAAAATGCAGCCAAATGTAACCAGAGTTTATACACAAGTATTAAACAATACAAAAAAGTCACAGTAAAAAAGTTAACAAATGTATCAGCTGGCTGCAGAAAGTACTCTACTTTTGCACAGATACCTGCTGGGTGATGTTGTTAAAATTATGCTGCAGTCTTCGACTTGGCTATGTCATGGTGACAATGGGGTCTAATTTGTTGTATTTCTTAATGGGGTTCCATAATAAAAAATTAATAAAAATCTGAGTTACACAAATAAGGGAACTCCTTAAAGTAATTGAAAACACATCATCCTGACCCACAGGAATTCTGCTCCCATGTGATATAAAGTAAAACTCGCTTAAGTCTTATCTTTATAAATTGTATAATCACCTAAGTTGTATATTCACCTGAGTTTCATTCAATTTCCTATCAAAATCACTTAAATTTCTTTGCACTACTCGTTATTAATCACCACCTAACTCGTAACTCTGGTCCCCTCCTCTACATTACTCCCAATGCCTACCGGGTGCATTGAACCGCGGAAAACGTAATCTTGATCTGGCGACTTATGTGCAGAACTTAATTTCCCGCGATTCAATGCCAGTAAAGTGTGCATTGAATCATAGGAAATGTAGTCTTGACCCGTCACCACATGTGCATATATCGGCTGCACTGAATTACGCATGCGCAGTGTAGAGTATTGATTAATTTTATACAACTTATACGGTTTACCTGCAACTGGGACTTCAGCAAGTCATATTAAACGTTATGGTCCCGACTGATACGACTTATGTGAATTTTACCGTATTTCCAGTCAGAGTAAATGCTGTTTACAATACAATACAAATTTCTAATAGGATTCCTTACAAGATACTGTAAATTAGATGCAAATGAATAAAACACATCCAAATGCAGTTTTTACAGCAAAATAAAATATTGTACAGTGAAGATTCATCTTTTGATCAAAAGGATATCGGTTTGTGATAATAAGTGGCACATACAGCGGGCAGACAGGTCTCAAAATACTTTTCCTTTCACATAAAAGGAGAAACAAAGCCATCTCAACATAGATTTTTTGGGCCTCTTTGATCACTTTACTGAGATTGAATGCAGAACAAAAGCTTGAAAGTGATTGTTGGCTTTTGGGATTCAGACTTCTTGTTGAACAGAGAATTGTTTTTTTTCTACAAAATCCAAACCTGAATCAATTAAACCTGTGAAATTCAAATCAATCTCAGACCGATCTGATTAGTTTCCTCTCTCTCTCTCTATCAGCAAGGGATCTGTGGGAAATTAACTCAGGGACTCTCCTGGAGTAATGTTTCTCAAACCCTTTTGAAACCAAGACTACAATTAGTTTCTGAAAATGTGGCAGACCATTATAAACCAGTAAGTCACTCAATCTAAAGAGATCTGTGGTATAGATTATCAGGGATTGTTGTCAGTGTTTGGACTAGTCGTTGAGCACCACTAGTCCGGAGCATATGAATCCAAAGCACAGAACTGCCCTGAATTTGGGTTTTTGCACAAGCGCACAAACAGTGGACAAACTAGTTATGTCGAATGACCTGTTTTAATATTATATAGCTGTTTCATGCCAAGACCCTGCCCCGCATGAAGGGCATTATATAAATGCAAGTTGTTGTTATTGGGGTGTCCTAACATAAATATATACTAATGATAACATGTATTACATGTTGAACAGGAAAGGCTTACTGGTATTACAGGAGGTAGAGAATTAAACAAAAAGGTCCACTGTACATTAGCACCAACTCACTTCTTTCCTGATGGAATCTCTTGCACGTTTTTACAGCAAAAAATACATCTTTCTTCTCCACTGGTGTTCCCTGTAAAATGACCAGTTAAAAAAAAGTTTAATTGACACTTATAACATAAAGAATATTACTTACCAGAATGATAGGTCCAGCACAGTACATAAAGAGAATAGAACCTCACTGTGCGTCCTTCTAATGAGACATTAAAACCAAAATCCCATCTGTTTGATCTAAAAGTTGAAGGCATTAAAGGTCTCCTGACCCTAATCAAAAAGAAAAGGGAATTTGCCAAGTAAAAAATAATAAATAATCCCCAGATAAATTGGTAATTTATTTTATAGCTGTTTGTGGGACTTTAACGTTTCATATGACTTATGCAAAGTCTGAGTTATGGCAAACTTGTATCGTATGAGTCTTGTGTAAAGTTCCTTATAAGTCAGATTTTATATGACTCACACATCACAAATACCCAAGTACTGCACTGGCGGGTGTCATTAAGACAAGGTTTCTGTACCATGTTTAACCCATGCAGATTAAAGCCAGGGAAGCCCATTTGTTCCACAAACTGTAACAGCACAGATACTGAACCTCATGTGCAGAAAACGAGTGAATAAATGTACAATCAATGGCACAACTAAACAGGTTTCAAAACAGAACTGTTTTATTAGAATATAACCTCTTATAAAGGTTGTTTCACATGGAGCAGGATCCAACCTTTTGGCTGCTAGGGCAGGATGCCCTGTTTGAGAAGCACAAAATGCTGCCTTCATTTCTCTCCTCCCTCTCTCGCTGTTTCTATCACTCCATTTTCTCCCTCAATCATTCTCTCTTCCCCCCCTTTCTAAATCAGCGGTGCGGCTCATTATTTAGCAGGGGGAACAGCCACTCTCCCGTGGTTTGTGTGGGATGGCTCACTATCTGGTGATTGGTAAGGTTTTCTCTTTCCTCTCTAACCAACGCCCCCCACAGCTCCCCCTCCCCCCACCCCGAGATGATGTTGATGTTACGCCTCTGGGAAGGACGGTTTGGAGAGCCTCTGGGTGTTCTTTTTGAGGTAGGTGAGGGAAACAAAGTTTTGATCCAGCAGTCGATAAGTTCGGTAGCAGGGTTATGAATTTTGCGGTGGCTAATATTACTGGTGCATATAAATATAAGTGGATTTAATAGGAAATTTAATGGAACTTGGGTGGATGTACGATTTAGGATTACTTAGGTCCAATTAAGCACCAGGCTGCCACCTATGTCAAGTGTGCATATTATAGCTGAGAATGTAAGATGTTTATGATCTACCAGAGAAGGTTTGCTGCATATCTTGTAAATAACAGTGTAGTTACACAACTGAAACATTTATTTGGAGGATAAGCAAAATCCAGGTTTATGCTGAGCAGTCCTAAATGTCTCATAAAACTCTACAGCTCAAGAATTCAAGATGAAAACATCTTCAAATGTGATTGCGTTTGCTCTTTTTCGTAATAATTAGGGTTTTAAACCATACTCTATCTGAAAGGTTTCACCAGCTCACATGAACGGCAATTTTCTCTCTTCTTTTCCAGAAGGCGCTGAATAATGCTGGAGAACAGCACTAAAATGAAGTGGCCATTCTTCATATGTTAGGCAAAATCTATCTCTGGAATTTTCATGTGTAGGTGGGATGCACGGAAATCTCAGCTTGGTTTGAATACTCTTAAGCATGGTGATGGGTTTCTGCATCTGTCAGACATCTGGCTGACCAAAACAAAAGCAGTGAATGCTGTGTGACACTTCAACCATAGAAGGTATCAAAAATAATTCACCTCAAGTTCTCAGTTATGCACTTTATAGCAGGGGTCATTATGTACCAAATGAAGTGAAAAAGCCAGACTGCATTTTTCTCTCCGTAGCCAAAGAGGGCTGCAGCCAATTTCAGCATCCTAACTGCTACGATAGCTCAGATCAGCTAAATCAGTGAGGCTGAAAATTGAAGCAAGAATCTTCTGGTGGATGATGGCTCAGCACTTCAAAGAGAGAAGCTCTTTAATCCATTAAACAAACAAGTGAGTCAGGGCAGATTCTTGTCTCGTAATTAGATTAAATATTAATAATAATATTCCTTGCATTTGATATAGCGCTTTTCACGTCGGGAGGACGTCCCAAAGCGCTTCACAGAACACACTGTAAAGTGAATTGACTGTATATTTGTGGGCGAACGCGGCAGCCAATTGCGCACAGCAATGTCCCACAAACAGTCGTAGATTGAAAATGACCAATTTTTATTGTTGTTTTTGGTTTTGGAGGGATTAATAATCCTTGCATTTGATATAGCACCTTATCACATCATTGAGACGTCTTAAAAGCGCTTCACAGGATATACTGTGGGCAAAATAGTTTTAATTAAAGTTAAAATTATATGAAGCATGCTGAAGTGTGGGATTAGATTGGCTCATGTGGAGAAAAACAACAGTGCAGACTTGATGAGTGAATGGCCTAATTCTGTGTTACAGTATACTACAATTCTGTGGTTTAAAAGGTCAATTAACAAATGCAGAAGATTCTTAATGTTAAGTACTATTAAGATGTACAATTAATTGATAAACAACTAAAACATTAAGTGGACAACTTTTATAATAAGCAATTGAGCTAATTTGCCTTTGTTAGGAAAAAGATGTCTGATTGTAAGATTAAACTTGCTCCCATCCCACAATGGTGCAATGGGTAAAGATACCCTCTGGTACAGCAGTAAATTATACAGCCATAAAACTAGCACTAAAACCATTCCAACAAATTTCAATTCACAAAAGTACAAAAATAATTTGATTTATATCCTAACACAAACCTGTAAAAATACAGCAGATTTAGGGGGAATTGTTGACCTCCATCATTGCATTTCACTATTTTTAACTGAACTACTTAAAATATGATTATGGTAATACATTAAGCTTCAAACTACGATTTGGATGATTGAACATCAAACAGAAGAACATAGTGGAACTTTCCACTATGGCTCCTGAAATGGTATTATGACAACATAAAAGGATAAGAACTTAAAAATGCATGCTTTGTGGTTTCAAAGATTCTATGTTTTTAAAATTCTCAACAATGTTACTTAAACTCTGCACATTCCACATTCAAAACAAAGTAAACAGCTATCAAAAGGTTGTACACCCTTATCTATAACTTTGCCAGAAACTGTTAGTTGCTGTTTGACAATGTGCTTTTACCATATCTTATTTTAGCTGCAAATCAACATAGGTACAGCGTCAGTCTCCAAGCACAGGGCAGTCAAAGAGGTAGTTTTTTAAGGGATTTAAAGACATATAATAATAATCCTTGAATTTGATATAGTGCCTTCAAGACGTCTCAAAGCATCTCACAGAATATACTGTAAAGTGAATTGACTGTATATTTTGTGGGCGAAACGCAGCAGCCAATTACGCACAACAGTGTTCCACACACAGTCGAGGACTGAAGTGACCAATTTTTTTTTTTTAAGGAATTATTACTCCCGGAAAGGCGATCTGCCAATCGACTAACAACCAGGTTCCTACTTACTGCTGGGTAAACAGAGGAGTGTGGAGTATGGAAACTTGCCAACATTTTGCCCTGCTGGGAATTGAACCCAGGTCTCTCACTTGCAAGGCGAGCGCTCTAACCACTGAGCTACAGGACATATGGAGGTAGATGGGAATTAAACAGGAGTAGACGGAAGGAGTTACAAAAGCATATAGTTGCTGAAGGCTTGGCCATCAATGTTGGGTGGAGGGTGTACAGTAGGCTCAATCGAGTTTGTCAAGCAGAAATGGTGCAAATGAACATGGCAGTGATTGGGAGATGTTAGGACGTGAAGGGATTTATGTTGAGGATGAGAACATTGAAACCACAAAACATGGAAGACAGTGGAACCTGGCAAGGACTGGGGTGATGTGGAATATGCATGTGCAGGTAACGATGCGGTCAACAGTTTTATGTAACCTTACTGTTGATGGAACGAGAAGTGTGTTAGAGAAGTCATGAGGTAACAAAGGTTTGGATGATGGTGATCAGGGCATTTTGAGATAGGGACGAAGCTAGGCAATGTGGAGAAGGTCAAGAAAAGCAGGCCTGATCAGGGACTGAATGTGAAGAAGGAAGGAGAGATAGGCTGAAACTAGATGCCAAGGTTTGGTGAACTTGAGAGAGGCCAGCGAGGTTATCCCAGAAATTAATGTTGGCAGGAGCCGAAGAGAATGTCTTTTGTCTTATCCATGTTAACCTTTAACTAGATCATTATTGATCTCTAACATAGTGATATGATTCCCTCTCACGTTTCAAACATATTTAATTCATTATGTTTGGTTCATGCATCTTCGAAATCAATATCAACTAAATGATATAAAATACGCAACACATGTGCTTACATTGCCAATTATAAAAGTACTATAGCTCACAGTGTGATGTGGCTGGTGTTTATTGCAGTTAGGCATAATTATTGATAGTTATTTCAGTCAACATTGGTAAGTTTATCTTAATTTACAATCTTCTAGTAACCATAAAATCATATTTTATATCATATCAGGTGCCTTTGTGTTGTCTGTCTTTTTCTTTGAAGTCTGTATTTCCCGTTCCCCAGACCATTACTTTGGGGATACCTCAGTGAAGTTATTTTTAAGTTTATTTCCCAATGCCTGGTGAATGTCTTGTATTCCTTGCTTGAAAATCGGGGCCCATTATCACTAATTATCTCTTTTGGTATTCCATGCTGGGCAAAGATTTCCTTGTTTCTTTTTCACTATAGTTTTGGATGTTGTGTCATTCAACTCTGTACATTCACTATATCTTGATGTATAGTCTATTATTATTAAGTAGTTTTTGTTATTTCTAATGAAACAAATCCATTCCTATTTTGCTCCAAGCTTTATTTGGTTTCTTGTGCCATATAATTGGTTTGTGTCTTTCTTTTTTCAATTGAATCCCAACTTGATTTAGTTTTTGAAGTAAACAACCAATTATTCATAACATTTGTGTGGTGAAATATAAAAGCTTGTAATCTCTGAACTCTAAATGTTAGTCATTGCAGTTTATTTTCACTGAATTCTAAAACCTTTGGTCTTTCCAAGGAGAACTCTGTTAGCAGCGTCTTGAGATGTTCTCTCATTAGCCAGGCTATTTTGACACTGATTTCCTTGCTCAGGACCAACAGGAGGCTAGATATTGGTTTTTCTGATGTTGTAATTTTTTCTGTCAATTCTGAAAGAATCTTTTGACTTTAATCCAATTGCCACAAGGTATTTCCAGTAAAATGTGAACTTCCTGGTTTTCACTCAAGCATGCGCTCAAAATTCAAAAACTAAATCAAGTTAGGATTCAATAGAAATGCAAAATGCAAATACCTGTACTTAAAGTAACCAGAATTAACACACTGCTCTTTGGGATTATAGAAAAGTCTTGTGCCACAGATGATGGAAATGTGCAGCTGAGATACAGATTTTAAGCTAAATCCATTCATTGGGTGCTGTATTTTGATCATTACTGAGAAAGAGAACCTCTCCAAAAAATGGGAAGATAATCTTACTAGGTACAATGACTGATCAATCCAATCAATATAATTTGTATAGACTTTCATGTTGAGAAGACGTTTCAAAGTGCTTCACAATGCCAGATGTGCCCTGAGCTGGAAGGGGGGAGGGGAAAAAGCAGATCATAGCAGAATCCTCTCTGGAAAATTTAAATTGTCAATTAAGAGTTAGCAAAAGATTAGCTGCCTAATCTGAGCAAACCCATTGGTTGGAGAAATGAAGGTGTAATTGAAACATTTGTCAATTCAAAGCTTCCCATGGAGCATGCACACTCACCTGCAATAATAATAATGGATTTGATACAGCACCTTATCATGTCTTCGAGACGTCTCAAAGCCCTTCACAGAATATACTTAAAGTGAATTGACTGTACATTTTGTGGGCGAAATGCAGCAGCCAATTACACACAGCAGTGTCCCACAAACAGTCAATGTGGTTAGTTGCCATTGAACATCATGAAAACAGATGGCTTGGAGAGCTAAACTTCCTAAGAAATGCAGACAAAATAATTTACCTTAAGTACACTTACAATGAGTAAGCACAGTTGCTGCAAAACTACTCACACAGAAAGGAAGGTATGTTTGAAATGTAGTTGCACACTTCGCTGCTTCAGATGAAGTTTTATCTTCTGTGCAGAATTCCACTACTGGAGTCATTTGAGGGCCTCCAGCTTTGTCCATTATAAAAAGTGCAATCTAAAAACAGAGACTTTTTAAAACATTTTAATTCAAAAGCATTTTTTTTAGAAATAGCTGAAAGAGATCACATCCCTGAAACTGAATATCTACAATATAGCTGATATTAATTGAGAGAATACCATTTATTTAAAATACCATACTGCCATTCACTGAAATGTGCATGGTCTGGATAAAATATATTTGCACTCAATTCCAATGTTGACACAGGAATCACTTTAGAAGGCAAAGAGTGGGATTGACCAGTACAGGTCAAATACAAATACAAATAATAGTATTTGTACTGCACCAGTACAGTATTTCCAATTTTAAACTTCAGAACTTGTACATTTATAAAACCTATATTTAACACTCTTTGTTTTCAGAACATGTATTTTCTTTTTCCATCATTAAAATCAACCAAATCAGATAGACCGCCAAAAGGCAAAATACTGCAGATGCTGGAAATCTGACGAAGTTGTGATGAAAGATCATCGACCTGAAACATTAACTCACTTTCCTCTCTCCATAGATGCTACCTGACCACAGATGAGTGTTCCCAGCGACTTCTGTTTTTATTTCAGATAGACCTTCATCTGTTGCACAATTAGTTGCATCAAAGGAAGCAATATGTGGGGAAATACTTTCAATAAGATGCTCTTTCCCTTAGTAATTTAATGGTATCCCAAAAATGTTTTTCAAACAGATTCCTGTTTTTGTTGGGTGTTCTTCTCTCTGTGAACATCTACTATTCCAGAGCATTAAAACTTGATATTGAAGCATGTTACTTCTCCTTCAATATGTGATCTAGTTTGTCATATGTCCCAATACATAACTCAGTTCCCCAAAAACAGCCCAAACCCTTGTGCATGTATTTGTGACCTCCCTCTTGGATTTTCTCTAACACACTCCTCACTGGTCTCCCCAGCTCCCCCATTCACAAGATCCAGTTCATTGAAAACTCTGAATACTGACCTGGACCAAACTCCGTACACACATCTCACCAGTTCTGGCCAGGCTCCACTGGTTCCCCATCACCAAACGGATCGACTTCAAGATCCTCACATTCATGTTCAAATCCATTAACTCCCTGGCACCTCCCTATCTCTCTGATCTCCTCATTCCCCAATCCACCACCCAGCACCTCCGCTCGACTGGCACCGGCCTCCTGCTTGTCCCTCGCACCTTCTGCCCCACCATCGGAGGTCACGGTTCCAGCCACTATGCCCCAAAACTCTGGAACACTCTCCCTCAATCCCTCCGCCTTACCCCCTCTCTCCCCTCTTTCAAGTCCCACCTGAAACCTTTCCTCTTCAACCGTGATTCCAGCCACCTCCCCCCAGCTCGGAGTCAGGCTCTGCCACTGTTAAGCGATCTCAGACGCTACCCTGAGTGGAAGGCTGTATATAAATGCAAGTTGTTGTTGTTGTTGTTGTCAATCACATATTATCATGGCTTCAAACAACATGAAGCTAAACTGACTGTCATATTGGTCACACTTAGATGAACATTTCAAGATTAAAGATATGAAAAGATATGGAGAAAAAGAGGGGAAAAAAGCTCAGAGTAGTTGACTCCAATATAATTTACAATATAAATGATATATACACAATATATTAGCTTTTCTTTTGCAGCTCTCGAGTTTTAAAATTATAATTTTGTTTTACATTATTTTTTCTATCATAAAAAATTGATGTGGTGCACTGTGAGATTCCTATGTGCTCAGAATCACAAAGATTCAATTTCAAAAGCTATTGTTGCAAAATTGTTCTTTGACTATTCTCCTTCAGGGGAGAGGTAAGCAGGGTCTCCATGGAGCTACGCTGGCTCCAAGGTGATGTGTTGTGATCCACCCGATCATAGGGGGCAAACATTTTACCCTGCTCTTTGGAATTCCATCTTAAATCCCCTACTTTACCCCCACTTTTAAAGCCCACCTGAAGGCTTAGCTATTCGACCGTACTTTTGGTCACCTTTTCCCCTCCCTATCCTTCTTGCCTCCCCTCCCCCGATGCTGCTGAGTTCCCAGCCAGTTGTGTGCAGTGCTTTGAGACCTGCTCCCCATGTGAAAGGCACTGTATAAATATAAATTGTTGTGTATTATTGTACTTCATTTTGCAAATCACATGGGGAAAGTTACAGAAAATACTTCTAAACTTGAAACTAATTACTCCACAGTTTCAGGTACACAATTAAATCTTTCACATACCTCATGTTTCAAATCTATGGTAAAATCAGCAAAAGGCTTTTCATTCTTCACTTGTTTTGCAAGTCTGTAAGGGAACACAAATTAAGAAAAGCAATTATATCTGAACATTTAAAAAGGATAATTTTCTCAATTTCGCAGTGAGCTCAAAATATGACACATTATCTCATCACTGATGAACATCAAAGAGGTATTTGAAATATAACTTGATCCAAATCAAGGCTGTGCTGGTAAGCTTCTTTATTTGTCAATCCCAAATTCTGAATACTCCACCACTCTATAAACCACACACTTTGTCCCATTCCGTGTTCTTTTGTACTTTCGGCCCATCTTCTTATTGACTCTTTTGGTAATTGGCAAGTTACTCTTAAAGGATAATCCAACAGTATTTATTTTTAATGACTCTAAATTAATAGATGAATCAATGGCAAACCTGTTGACAAGCGCAGTATTCAGAGCCCAGCCGGCAGCAAAATCTGGATACTTAAATGCTGCAGGATCCTCAGCAAAGGCATAATGGTGAATGATTGTCGACTGCTCATCACACAGTCCCTTGCCCAAGAACCACTCCTGTAACAAGTTATTCAATTTACGAGGAAGAAAGCATAGTGTTCAAGTGAGTTTAATGAATGCAACGCAACTTAACTTGACTGCAAAATTTTCCTTAAATGTGAGAAAATTATACAGCAGACATCCCCAACCCCAAGGGGGCAACTTATACGTCTGAAAAATAAAATGATCAAAATTTTACCGCAATGAACAACTAGAAACATTCATTCTTCTAGCCAATGTGTATTTCTTAAAACGATTTAATAAAACTGCATTGTTATAAACAAGCAAAGTATTAATATTTGTGCATTTATTGTACCGGCAGGTCCAGGTACTATTTTCTAGTTTAAAACTAATTCTGTTTAAACTACATCACATGTGTTTTTCATTCTGCAGGAACTCAAATTAGTAAAACTATATTTTGCTAAGGAGTATAAAAATAAGCTGTATGATTTTCCTAACTGGTTAGGTAAAATAAATATAATATCAATGTACATTTATTACTTACACCAAAGTCTAACATCAGATGTAACTTATTGATTAATTTAAATATGCTCTTGTGGAGGTGTTCAGCTTTCCACATTCACTAGAATACCTTGTTCTTGTCATATCTGCCAAGCACATCCAATAGCTTTGGTACTCGTATTCTTGTTTGTTCTTCACAGAAGAAAAACCAGGATTTCTTGCTATAAGTGGTAGAAAGGCTAAAGAGAAAAAAACTGCATTATTTATTATCACAATGAGTCCCTGCTGATGCTGTAACTGATAATTGTCACCTTTCATAAATTCTCATTTTGTTTTTCCTGTTTAAAGTCAGTAGTATACATCATTAGGCCTGTGTGATGAATTCTGGCCAGCAGATCAATCCTATAAGCACTACTGAATTGTCCTTTCAAGCTAGCTGGCCATCAGTGGTCCCCAGAGATGAAAAAATTAATTTTGCTGGTGATGTGCAGTACAGCTGTTGTGGAAGTGTGCCTTGTGCATCTCAGGGGGTGGAGTGCAATTGGACGGAATCTAAAGAAAGTTCTGCCTTGAATACACATTGATAGTTCGCTCTCAGAATGACATGAACGGCTTGATAGCAGCCTGTGGTATTTTATGATGTTACGGCACTGATTCCACCCGATGCTCACTCTGGGTATGCAGTACTGAGAAAGATGCATGCCAACCTGCTATTGTGGAGAAATTGCAAACTACTGAGCTTGAGCAACCTTTGTATCAGAAATTACAATGGGAGGGTTATTGAGCTTTTCACGCACAAACTTTCTCATGGTCATAGCATTGTCTTGAATTTAAGATCATGCAACATTTCTGAAAATCCTTAAATGTTTCAATCCTGGAGCATGCTGCTGTGCTGTGAATTAGCAGTCTGCACTTTCGTGTACACTTGGGAATATTCAGAAGGTGCTCATGCATAAATGTGGCAGCTTTTATACAGGGTCACCAAAAAGTCAGGATTTATACTCTATTATCTAAAAAAAGTCATTTATTTAAGACTTATTAGACATTGTAATGGTATCTCAACTTTTTGGTCACCATGTATAAAAGGAAATAATTGGACAAAGTAAATTAAGGCTTTATCGACTGAAGCAAGGATATGAACAGAAGCTTCAGAGTAACTGAAATATTAGCACAGGAGGTTATCTGAATCAGCATCTGTGCTCCCAGTGTGAGCTAACCACTCTTATCTTATTTCCTTGCTTTCACGACAATCTTTAATTCCTACATTCAGTCCTTTGCATTCCTTCATGTTCATCTAATTATCTTTTAAATAATGCAATTGTCCTAGCTTCAGTAGCCACTTGTGATCCACATCCTAATAACTTTGTGCAAAAAGCATACTCTTAACTACTCCCATTTTTTTTGAAGTCAGCTGGGTGTCAGACACATGCGGAAACTCATCGCCATGCTGAAGAGTATCCAAACCAGACAGAGTTCCATGCATCCCACCTACATGTGGGATTGGCAATTGGCCATTGACAATGAGAAGCAAGCAAGTATAAAAGGATTCTGGGAAAGTGACTGGCCAGGTAGTGAAAGAGAGTGGAAGTGTAAGGTTTAAATAAAGAAACTAATGAATATAAACTGTGTTCTGGATTAACAAACATTACACATCCCAAGGCACTAGACAGTCAAGCATTTTGAACTCGTCTGGAGGTTGGGTTCAGGAGGGGTGGACGGCAGACGGGGTAGCGATAGGAGAGTAACCGAAGGTGCAGTTGAAGAGGAGGGTCTTGAGACGGGCCTTGAAGGAGGCAAGGGAGGGGGCGTAACACAGGAACTCTAATATTAATGGGAGGCTTTTAAATGATGATCTGTTCCTATCTGGAAACTAGCTGAAGATCAGGTGTTGTAAGCAAGCATGTCCTCAATTATTTGAAAGCTCTGTCTTTTGGATTTTGGGTTAGATTTTATAGGCGACATTACCCAAAACACTCAGCCCTGAGGACCAACGATTCCTGAGATATAACAGTAAAGGTCCTGAAACTACCAGGAGTTGGCTAAAACATAGCATTTCCAAATAATGTAATACTGTGACATCTTGGCACTTAAATGTAGACCTGGGATAGAAAAGGAAGATTTCTTGCAACTCAGGTTAATTAAAATGTGACACCAAATCCTATGAACTGAAGAAACACGGGTAATATCTATCTGTGGCTGACTTTGAATCTCTTATGAGTTTATAGTAATATACATTATAAAACTAATTATAAAACTGACACTAAAAATATAAGTAAAGCATTTTGGAATAGTGAAGATACGATTTGTAAAGTTACTGCCTGCAGCACGATTTCAATGTTATTACACTGTTCATGATTTAGGACGTTCAAAAAGAATAAAAGACATAAAATAGTCATTTTCTTTTATATACTAATAAAACGGCAATTTCTGTCCACGTGTCAGCCAAGATCTCAATAACTAATAACCATGATACAGAAATTATCGGAAGGGCCTTGAATTTGGGAGTGTCATGGGCATTTTTTTTTCAGGGACCTCCATCATTGTTGAATTATGTATGGCAATTTTTTTGCGCTGCAGTTACACCTGGTGGCCGCGCCAACTCCCAATGGCACTATGGCATCCCGCGTCACAGAGCACGCACGCAACATGCACTCAGACGAAGAAATGGCGAGAACAAGATAAAGATGCCTAAGCAAACAACAAGCCTTTCAAGTACAAATCAAAGTGACAGACAAAAGAAAGAAGGTCAATTAAATGAAACCGAGGAACAAAGAACAGCACGACTGCATTGCAATAACTCGAGGACCCGCCAGGTCACACAGTAAACCCCTTCGGTTAGCGTAGCTTTGATAAGATATTCTATCGTTCATGAGCTATGACCCTTTGATAGGATCTTCTATCTTTCATGAGCTATGACTCAAACAAGCTCATTGCACATGTATGGCAGTTTTACTTAAGGTGTACGCACAGTGTTTATGGCATGTTAAATGGTTTGTGAGTGGTATCACTGAAATCTACGTTCCATACTGGATCCTTTGGTTGCATGTGTCGCTGCAACGGGTACAGCTAGTGTATAATATGTCTAAATTTTCTAATATTAATCACTTCATAAGAAGGACAAGACATGGACATGGATTAGCTAAATGGAAGGAATTACTGGGTAGTTGTAAGTGGAGCTAAGTCACAAAGGGGAGATTGATGCCCAGGAGTCCGCTCAAACATTAAATTGAGTCGATCCCTAGAGACCATTCAATACCTCCCTGTCTCAGACAACAAGTTTTCACACTGGCTCTGTGAGGTGGAGTGTGTATCCATGTAGATTGATGATGTGAGTTCCTGAGGTGAGGAAGCGCTGACAGAAGCCAAGCAGAAGAGCCTGTGGTTTGTCAATATTTAATTGGAGGAAGTTGGCTCTCATACAAGACTTGAGGTTTAACACGCAATCGTTCAGAACAGCAGTGACTCTGGAATCAAGGATGGAAGCAGAGAGATAGAGTTGGATGTCATCCGCATACATGTAGAAGTTAACCCAATGCCTGCAGATGACACCGAGCAGGAGCATGTAGATATTAAAGAGGAGAGGACCAAGGACAGAGAAACTGGCTGCTCTTTTCACCTATAAAATAGTTAATACCCTTTACTGTAAAATCTGAAGTTTTGACATGTCCTTCTGACATGGAAGACCTACATCAAATGCAAAATGTAAGGATTATTAAAGGCACTAAATAAGTGTAAACTGCTGTTGTTGCTTGCGCAGATGTAGAAAGTGTATTCCTACAAAGTGCTGAAGCTGCAGGTTGTTCAAATGCGAAACGTTTATTTTCATATAACTTGCTTTAGTCCATGTCCATTGTTATCCAATAACATAGCAAAGCTTAATATTCTTAAGGCAAAATACTCAAAGAGTCATAGTAAACTTCCCAGGTGATGGTTTAGCTAAGCTTCAATTGTCTTTCCAAAACATAATTTGCTTTTGATTAAAAAGAATGGACTGTACATTCTGCAAAGCCTAGATTGCAGATAACACATTCCAGGTATTGCTGTTTTATTGAATTTCAGAATCCTGAAAGTACCATCGGGATCTATTGTTGGGCTCCCCACCAAAATTAAACTGGAGCTTCAATGGTGAATCCAGTGTCCCAGTTACAATTCCCTCAAAAATGTAAATCAAACTTCCTTTACAGAAATATAATGTGTGATTATGCCTATGATGATTTGTGCAGCAAGGATATATACAAAGCCTGTTACAGGGACTTGCATGTTTCCTCTTTCGCAAAAATAAGATGGATTAAATTTGTTTGGTTGCAATGCAATCTAAGTGAGATAACTAAATTCTAGTCATCATCGGTGAAATAACATGACACGGTATTGTTTTGACTCACGCGGCTTAGGAACCAGATCACCAACACTGCCCGAGAAGGTTGACGATTACAAGATTCCATTGCCAGGTTGGAGCCAAGTCAGCCAACCATCTCCAAGGACAGTCACTTCTTGGACCTTGTCCCTAAATACAACCGTTCAGCTGCTGTCTGTTTTCACATAATCTTTTCAGTAGTAGCGGAAAGGAAATATAACAACATTACTTACTGTTGTAGTATAGGAATGATTGTCCAGGCTCCTTCATGTTTGCTCAACTCATGAATAAGCAGCACAGTAGGTAAATGCTATATATAAAAAAAAGAAAGAATATAATTAAAAACAAATTGAAAGAAACACAATTTGTTCTCCCTGTAAGGTATGATGCCTCCACAAACCAAGGTTCTGTTCAACTGGGAGAGTGGTTAATCAGGCTATTGATGTTGCCACCATTGCTGGAAATCTCAGCGTACACACAATGCACTCAATTACTTAAGTACAGTAAAAGCCTGATACCTCAACCCTGTCTTAAAATGTCACTACCATTTCAGTCATCGTGCTGTCAATATCCCAGCTGCATTTATTTATCTATTTATGCATTTGCATAACTCACTACTCTGAATAACTAGTCACAGTTGCTTTCCCTTGGTGTGACACGTTATTAGGAGTTTAGCCACCTAAACAGCAAGTCTGAAGTTTAATTAATCATCATATCTAATAGGATATACTGTTAGACATGACAAGAGATAAAACTCATTAAATCCTCTCAGGTTATATTCATCACAACATCAAATATATCTTCGTTACGTTTGTTACTGGGCAATAATGGCCACTGTCCATTGAATTTTTTAGCTCCATACTGGTAAAGTGATCTTGCGTAAAGTGATCCACACACCATGAACTGTTTTAGTTATAAATATACTCCACAAACCCAAAACTTGATTGGTGGAGACAAAGAAAAGACATTTCCTTTCATCTCAAATGTTGTTTGAGGCTTGTTAATGCTTTTAACGTCCCAGGTGATCCTGGAGGATAAGATCAAAAATACATCACATGCACATAGATTTGAGACATCTCAACAACGTAACAAGGCACTGTATCAAATGCAAGAATTATTATCATTATTAATTTATTATTATCAGAATGAAAGAAGTTAGTAAATGATCGACTATGTAACTGCTTCACTGTATTGATTTGGGTAACCAAAAATGTTACACGATATTGCCAATTAACAACAACAATAATCCCTGCATTTCATTCAGCACTCAATTCTCAAAAAAAAAACTTTGGTGAGTGCTGTCAGGTGTAGCGTCCATGTATTTGTAGGCAGACATGGCAGTCAATTTGAAGGCAGCAATATCCCACAAACAGTCATGAAGCAAATGACCAATTTACCTGAAGGATTGTTGGTTAGAACATCAGGAAGATCTCCCTTGTTTTTGAATAGTGCCATTGTATCTTTAAAGGTTTCTCCACTCTCTTCCTCTCCAAAACCAAAATCTCAATCTACTCCAACAACAACAAAATTACATTTGTAAAGCACCTTTCATGTTGGGAGGACGTCCCAAGGTGATCCTGGAGGATAAGATCAACCTCAAGCTCCTCTTTGCCACTAAGAATGACCTTGTCTGTCTTCTTCCTTCCCTAGCCCCTTCCATCTCCACCTCGAAAACCGAATGTGAGCAGGTCATTAACTTCATGGCCAAAAATCTACTTGGCTGCATCGTCCTCTCCTTCATTCCATCCTCTCCCCAATTACTATCCCTTCCCCGCACTTTTGCACCTATGTCTCTCATTCCTCGCCACCCTCATAACTCAAAAATAACCTGCCCCCTTCAACCCTTCCCTACCCAGCTGCTGAACGGATACAGTCTACTTGTTCTACTTCCCTTCAAGACCAATGTCATCATGTCATCACCCACCTCCTCCAAAAATACACCCTCGATCCCTGCAAAATGCATCAACGTTTTCATAAAATCATAGAATCGTACAGCATAAAAAGAGGCCATTCGGCCCATCAAGTTTGTGCCGGCTCTTTGAAAAGAGCAATGTAATGTCAATCCCACTCCCTAGCCCTTTCCCCATTACCCTGCAGACCCGTCCTCCTCAAATAACCATCCACCGCGTTTTTAAAAGTAGTTATCGAATCAGCCTTGACCACCATTCCAGATTCGAACAACTCACAGCTTGAAAAAATTTCTTCTCACCTCCCCTCTGTTGCTTTTAGAGACTATTTTGAATCTGTGACCTTGAGTCACCAACACACCCACCAGTGGAAACAGTTTCTCCCTCTCTAACCTATCAAATCCCCACATGATTTTGAAGACCTCTATTAGGTCTCCTCGTAACCTTCTCTGCTCCAATGAGAATAATCCCAGCCTCTCCAGCCTTTCCTCAGAATCAATGTCCCTCATTCCTGGTACCACCCTCGTAAATCTCCTCTGCGCCCTTTTCAATGCCTTAACATCCTTCCTATAGTGTGATGCCCAGAACTGGGCGCAGTATTCTAACTGAGGCCTAACCAGTGTTTTATATAGGTTAATCATAACCTCCTGACTCTTGTACTCTATGCCCCTATTTATAAAGCCTAGTATCCAGTATGCCCTTTTTACAGCTTTATCTACCTGTCCTGCCACCTTCAAGGATTCATTTACTTGCACCCCCAGGTCTCTCTGTTCTTTTACACCCCCCTTAAGATTGTATTACCAGTCTGTATTGCCTCCCCTCATTCTTTCTACCAAAATGCATTACCTCGCATTTCTCCACATTGAAACTCATCTGCCATGTGTCTGCCCATTTTACCATTCTGTCTATGTCTTCCTGCAGTTGGCTGCTATCCTTCTCACTGTTTACCACTCTACCTAACTTTGTGTCGTCCGCAAACTTGGAAATGGTACTTGCTATACCCAAGTCCAGATCATTTATGTATATTAAGAAGAGCAGTATATTAAGAAGAGCAGTGGTCCTAATATCGATCCCTGGGGGATGCCACTGTACACTTCCCTCCAGTCAGAAAAGCAGCCGTTCACCACAACTCTCTGCTTTCTGTCTCCCAGCCAGTTCTGGATCCATGCTGCCACTGTCCCTTTTATACCATGGGCTTCTATCTTTCTTACAAGTCTTTCATGTGGCACTTTGTCAAATGCCTTTTGAAAGTCCATATAAACTACATCAACTGCAGTACCTTTATCCACCCTCTCCATTAGCTCATCAAAAAATTCTATTAGATTTGTGAGACAAGATTTGCCTTTAACAAATCCGTGCTGGCTGTCCCTAATTAACCCATATTCTTCTAAGTGAAGATTTATTCTGTCCCGGATTATAGTCTCCAGGAGTTTCCCCACTACTGATGTTAGGCTGACTGGCCTGTAGTTCCCAGGTTTGTCCTTCTGTCCCTTTTTGTACAGGGGAGTCACATTGGCCACTCTCCAGTCCTCTGGCACCATTCCTGTGTCCAACGAAGATTGAAAAATTGTAGCCAAAGCCTCCATTATTTATACCCGTGCCTCCCATAGTAACCTTGGTTACATCCCGTCCGGACCAGGCGACTTATCTACCTTCAGCCCAGTCAACCTTTTCAGTACTTCCTCTCTGTTTATACTTATCCTATCCATTTCCTCTTCCCTCCCCTCCAATACTGCAGCATTTGATGCATCCACTTCTTTTGTGAAGATAGATGCAAAGTACTCATTCAGTACATCAGCCATCTCCTCTGCCTCTACAATAAGATTTCCCCCTCGGACCTTAATTGGCCCCACCCTACCTTTGACTAGCCTTTTTTCCTTGATATGTTTGTAAAATACTTTAGAATTCCCTTTAATGTTACCCACTCACCTTTTTTCGTGTAATCTTTTTGCTCCCCTTATTTCCTTTTCAGTTCTCTTCTGCACTTCCTATATTCTATTTGGTTGTCTTCTGTATCTTGGGTTTCACATTTGTCATACACCTCCTTTTTCTGCTTCATTCTAGATACAATTAACTTTGTCATCCAGGGAGGTTGGATGCGCTACTTTTCCCTTTTGTGGGAATGTATTTGTTCTGTCCCCGAGCTATCTCATCCTTGAACACTTCCCACTGCTCTTTAGTTGTTTTACCTGCCAATCTTTCTTTCCAGTCCACCTTGGCTAGGTCCCTTTTTAACTCACTGAAATTTGCCCTCTTCCAGTTGAGTATCTTCACCTTAGATGGTTCCTTGTCCCTTTCCATATGCACTCTGAATCTAATGATGTTGTGATCACTATTGCCCAGATGCTCTCCCACTGAAACCTGCTCCACTTGTCCTACTTCATTCCCCAGAACTAGATCTAGCACTGCTTCCTTCCTCGTTGGACTGGAAATGTACTGATCAAGAAAGTTGTCCTGTATGCATTTTAGGAATTTTTCCCCTCCTTGCCCTTTGCGCTGTTGTTTTGCCAGTCTATATTGGGATAATTAAAGTTCCCCCATTATCACGACTCTATTGGCCTTGCATCTGTCTGAGATCTGCTTGCAGATCTGCTCATCTATTTCCTTCCCACTATTTGGTGGTCTCTTGTATACTCCTACCAGCGTAACAGCTCCTTTTTTGTTCCTTAATTCCAACCAGATAGATTCTGTTTTGGGGCCCTCCAGCACCTCGACCCTTTCCACGGCTATAACCATATCCTTGAATAACATTGCCACACCCCCTCCNTTTTTTCCTTCCGTATCCCTCCTGAATACATTGTAGCCATGAATATTCAGCTCTCATTGCTGTCCATGTTCGAGCCAAGTTTCTATTACTACTACTGCACCGTATCCCCCTATGACCAATTGAGCCTGCAACTCACCAATCTTGTTTGCTAAACGCCGTGCATTTAGGCACGTGCACTCCAAGACCGACTTGACCTGTTCTGCACTTCCCCCCATTTTATTTCTCCATTTTCAAACTCTTCGTTTTTTGCATTCCCTTCCCCCCTTAAAACTAGTTTAAACCCTCCCCTACAGCATTAGTTAGCCCGTCTGCAAGGACATTCGTCCCAGCCCTGTTTTGGTAACCCATCCATATGGTACAGGTCCCACCTGCCTCAGAACTGATCCCAATGATCCAAAAACCTGAAGCCCTCTTTTCTGGACCATTTCTCCAGCCAAGCATTCGTATGCTTGATCCTGTTATTGTGGTACTTATTTGCCCGAGGCACAGGGAGTAATCCAGAGATCACCACCTTGGATATTCTATTCTTTAGTTTGTTCCCCAGCTTTTGATATTCACCTTGTAGCATCTCAGCCCTTTTTTTTACCAATATCATGGATATTGGTTTTGTCCATCTCTAACCTACTCTTCCCATCA